CCTTCGTGGTTAGCAACCTTTTGTGTTCGCTTTCCTTCGTGGTTAGCAACCTTTTGTGTTCGCTTTCCTTCGTGGTTAGCAACCTTTTGTGTTCGCTTTCCTTCGTGGTTTAGCATTTTTATGTTCGCTTTCCTTCGTGGTTAGCATTTTGTTTCGCTACCATCGTGGTTTAGCTATTGTTGTTTTAGCTAACTTCGTGGTCAGCAAGTTTTCGCTTTCCTTCGTGGTTTAGCAACTTTTTGTGTTCGCTTTCCTTTGTAGTAAGCATTTTTGTTTCGCTACCTTCGTGGTTTTAGCTATTGTTGTTTTCGCTAACTTCGTGGTTTAGCAACTTTTTGTGTTCGCTTTCCTTCGTGGTTAGCATTTTGTTTCGCTATCTTTGTGGTCAGCGAGTTTTCGCTTTCCTTCGTGGTTAGCAACTTTTTGTGTTCGCTTTCCTTCGTGGTTTAGCTATTGTTGTTTTCGCTAACTTCGTGGTCAGCAAGTTTTCGCTATCCTTCGTCGTTTAGCATTTTGTTTCGTTACCTTCGTGGTTTAGCTATTGTTGTTTTCGCTACCTTCGTGGTCAGCAAGTTTTCGCTTTCCTTCGTGGTTAGCAACCTTTTGTGTTCGCTTTTCTTTCGTGGTTAGCATTTTTATGTTCGCTTTCCTTCGTGGTTAAGCATTTTGTTTCGCTACCTTCGTGGTTTAGCTATTGTTGTTTTAGCTAACTTCGTGGTCAGCAAGTTTTCGCTTTCCTTCGTGGTTTAGCAACTTTTTGTGTTCGCTTTTCTTCGTGGTTAGCATTTTTGTTTCGCTATCTTTGTGGTCAGCGAGTTTTCGCTTTCCTTCGTGGTTAGCAACCTTTTGTGTTCGCTTTCCTTCGTGGTTGGCAACCGTTATTTTCGCTACCTTTGTGGTCAACAAATTTCGCTTTCTTCATGTCCTTCGTGGTTTATAACCCACCACTTTCTTAATGAAAGCCATTCTCGCTCCGTTTAAAGCCTACTTTTAACGTAAATTTTTTGGTTTTTATGTATTAACAATTTGATTTTAAATACCAAGTCAGCAAGCATTCTGAAGAAATCTAATTCAATATTAGAAGATTTGATCGGGAATGAGGTATAAATAAATTGTTAATTTCGTAGTAGTTTTGATTAAATAAATTAATTAATAGAACTTATTTTCTACTGAATAGATATTAATTTTTTTTATTAATGTAACCAAAAAAATGATTTTTTTAATTTTTTATCGTTCAGTCCTGCGTGCCCATCAAAAAATGTCACGTCGGCCCGCATTAAGACTTTTGCAGGCCCATATGCATGATCATGCATGTTGCCGATCCTTAATGTCGGCCATTTCGTGACATTTTTTGATGGGTACGCATAGGTAGTCTATTTGTTTTTTTATTAGATGTGAAAATTCCGTTTTGTAAATACTCTTACTGTATTTGTTCGAACTTGGGTTTGAAAGTGACAAAATACAGTCAACATAACCTCTCTATAACGAACTCTGGATATATTTAAATTAAAATATGACTAGTGTCGTTTTCTTCTGAAACTTTAAGTGCTTAAATAAACGAGGATTTTGAAATCTCTGTGTCAAATATTATAAGTTGATAGGTAGGATCTTTAATAATAAACGCGATATGTGCGATAATGAAAATTGTCATAATAGTCGTAAATATAGTGGTGTTGATAACTATTTTAGTCTATTCGGTGTATGTGTGTGTATCGGAAATTAAACAAAAATAAGCGATAGTTTTATATCGACATGAAAAGTTCATGTCGAGATGAATTTCACTTTTCATATACGCACCATAATAATAATAATATTTATCGTTAATTTATAGGACAATGGAATGTTTGATTTGATGTCGAACAATTATATTATTTATTAGTTAAATATGGTATAATTAATATATTAACAATATACATTTAATGTAGCGAGTTTTGGATTTATTCTGTGATAAATCTCTGACCTTGAAAAGTAATTTATATAAATATTATTTCCTTTAAGAAAGAGAGTGGAAATTATTAAAATAGACCATTTATAAATAAATTATTAATCATCTTACCTATATTAGCTATTGGCCATAATTTTTCTCCAGAGTCGAAGAAATTTCGGGGCCAAGATGTTTTTGTAAATCAGAATACCTTCATCACGTGAATAATCTCAAATATTCAATTATACGTGTATTCAGATAATATAATACTGTATTCATTAGGTAAAATATTAAATAATCCGCAATTGTCAAAAGAAATTGTAAATCGCAAAAATTTTGAGATAAATGCCCTCAAATAAGCATCGTATGAGCTAATATTTTTCGCGTTCCGTTCTATTTTTTTCTTTCTTATTTTTACTGGTATATCTTGAGAACTTTAAAATACTTCCACTACGAATACCAATCTCTTGAATTCTAGCTTTATCTTCTAACAATTTTTGTCCTTCAAACATAAGACAATAAGTTTTCCATATATATTTCCTAAAAAAAAAAAAAAAAAAAAAAAAATGAATGGAGAATAGTTTAATATTCCTTAAAAATAAATATATAGTATTTACCAACTAATCTTCCTATTCTTTCTGCCTTTTTTTTTATTTGCTTCTTTAATATCTCTCGATATCTGTAAAACAATTAAGTTTTTTATATCTGCAATTGTAGCATTTTGTCGAACTACCATTTCTGTTAAAATATGTATATAAATATATTAATCAAATCAATAGATTCAAGTTTAAAAATAACTTTCATATACTTACTTAATGATTCCAGCCCACCTCTTTGAATGGTAATCTCAAAAGCGGTACCCAGTTCTAACGCGATAAGCGTATCGACTTGTTCAAGTGTTAATGAATTTATCGCAGCAGTCAAAGAACTATCATCTATTGTATTAGTGGCATTCTTATTCGTGCTCTTATTGAGTATTGTTTGACTACTTTTATCTTCATTAATGTATTTAGTTAAATCTGAAAGTAAAGGATCTTGGAAAAGCTGTTTTAGCATTTTTTGAGTTTCGGTAAGTTTGGTTGTTTCTTCATCGGGAATATTAGCGTTAGGACTATGAGTTAAATTTGTAATAGATGATAATGAGACATTTATTTGAGAATCTGGAGGTGTAGGTGTCGGTGGCGGTGGAAGGGGTGGCATAGGTGGAGGCGAAATAGTATTTTCCATATTTAAACGAGAAAAAAAAGTTGTATCGTAATCCGATTGATTTGACCAATTATTTTAATAGTATTTGATCATCATCAAACCCCAATGAAATGACTTGACAAAAAAAAGGGATGATTTGAATTTACAACTGGCATTTACAAGTTTATAGATTGAAGATTTAATTATTTCCCTTTAAATTTAAAACAATGGTCTGTTTTTTACTATTAGTTTTTGCTTCGCATATCAAAGAGTAGATCATAATGAAAGACGTTTGATTCTTAACTGCCAATGTAATCTAGGTTGTTTTGGCAGCTTCGATATGTACAAAAGGCGGAAAAGGTAGAAAATTGTTTTTTCGTACCAACTCGTTCTTTCGTTAAATCATTTCTAATTCGTTTAAACATTCTATAGCTGTGATTTCTCGGCAATTTCGCGAAATGCCACGCGCTAGAATTGAGGGCCTTCTTGCGTCGTTTCCGAAATTGACGAGCACTGGACAGCAGCATACTACAATTGAAACCGAACATGTTCGTTATGTCTATCAACCTCTTGATGAATTATACATGGTTCTTATTACCAATCGTCAATCCAATATCTTACAAGATATTGACACTTTACATCTATTTGCTCGTGTGGTATCGGATATTTGTCGATCCAATGACGAAAGAGATATTTTGAAAAATAGTTTTGAATTATTGAGTGCTTTTGATGAAATTGTTTCCTTAGGTTATCGAGAAAATGTAAACTTGGCACAAGTCAAAAGCATCATAGAAATGGAAAGTCATGAAGAAAAGATTCAAGAAATAATAGCAAAAGTGGGTTTTCCTATTACATAGGATTTTTAAAAAAAATTTAATAATTATAGGTTAAAGTTGATTTATTCATTATTATTATTATTATTTATTAGAATAAAGAACAAGAAGCCAAAGAGGAGCTCAAGAGGAGAGCTAAACAATTAGAAATGCAAAAAAAGGAAATGCTCAAACGCGGTGGTGGTTCATTGGGCGGTACTTCTTTTGGTAGTAGTTTTGCTCAATCGATCAGTAGACCTCCTTCATATAATGAGCCGCAGGTTCAGACGACTTTCGAAGAAAACATCCGTTCATCGTTTAGTAGGTGTGATATATATCGGACAAATAAATTTTTTTTTTGTGTAAAAAAAAAAAGAAAAATTAATTATAAGCACATGAATTTTCTCGACATAGTTCTCCTACTCCGACATCATCTAAAGCCAAGGGTATGCAACTTGGACGTAAACAAAAGGGTTCCGATTTATTCGAAGCCGTTAAAAATGAAGTTGGTTTTGAAGAAAATACTGAGAAACCCAATGCTAGAGTGACTTCTATTTCAAAAGTTCAAGTGGAAAGGTTTAATTATATTTTTTAATATTATTTTCATTAATAAATGTTTGTGTTATGATAATTAATTCGTTATTTTGATGATGTCATTTTAGTGTGCATTTTGCAATTATGGAAAAGATTTCTTTACAAGCTAACAGAGATGGGGGTTTGGAAAATTTGGAAGTTAAGGGTGACTTGGAACTAACCATTTCTGATCCAAACTTAACAAAAATCAAAATGTCTGTTCGTGCTGTTGATGATGGTACTGTACAATTAAAGGTGATTATTTTTACGGATTTATAGTTTATCTAGAAATACTATGACTAATATGATATCGTTGTCAGACTCATCCCAACGTTGATAAGAAATTATTTTCAAGTGATAGTATTATTGTATTGAAAAACCCTGCCAAAGGTTTTCCTGTCAATCAACCATTGGGTGTATTAAGATGGCGTTATATCACTAAAGACGATACTATGATACCATTATCAAGTATATTAATTTCAATGTTCGTTTTTCCTTTGACTTTTATCGTGCATATATCTAATTTATTCGGATTTAATTTTTAGTAAATTGTTGGCCTTCCTCATCTGGAGATGGAACATGTGATGTTAATATTGAATACGAATTAGAGAGCGATGAACGAGAGTTCAAAGACGTATTGATCACTATTCCTTTGCCGTAAGTAAATAACGCATTTCGATAAATTAACAATTTCATATTTGTAATATGGTCTTTTTTGCTTTTCCTCGTTTTTTTTAAGTTCTGGAGGAAATCCTACTGTTGGTGAAGTGGATGGTAATTATGAAGTAAATCGTCAAACAAGAACTTTAGACTGGCAATTACCCATTATTGACGCTTCTAATAAGCAAGGCTCTCTGGAGTTCAGTATTGCGGGTGACGATGTCGACGCATTTTTCCCGGTTGGAGTGTCATTTGTTAGTGAAAAAACATTCTGTGATATAGATGTAAGTAACATAATTATGAGAACTTGATATTCCAATCCATTTCCCTTTTTTTAAAAAAAAAATTGCTTAATTTATTATTTATTCGTTTAGGTTTTGGAGGTTACTCTCATTGATACAGGTGCACCTGTGACTTATTCCAAAGAAAAAATTCTGACAGCAGAAGAATATAATGTCATGTAAAAATAAAATATATAATTTAATAATTTTATTTATTAATTCACATTTAGATAATGAGCAGCCAATTATTTAGAATGTAAAATGTTAATGAGATTCTGAAATAAAAAAATTGAATAATAATAAATATAATATATATATTTCTTTTTATAAAGTCAAATAATGAATGATTTAGGATAGCTTATTACAATTATTTTAATTAGACTCATACAAGAATAAATTTTTTAATTTTAAGATTCAAATCTGAGATCCCAACCAATTTGAGGACCATATTTAGGTAAAGCTTCGGCTACAGACACAACATCTTTATCACCTCGTCCACTTAGACACAATAGAATATCTTGGTCTTTGTTCATCGTAGAAGCAAGCTTTAGAACATAATAAATAGCATGGCTCGTTTCAAGAGCTATGTATATAAACATGTACAAAAACAAAAAATTAGAATTCGTTTATCATCAAAAATTTTTTAAAGGTTAACAAAAATATACCTGGAATAATTCCTTCCAACTCGGACATTTTCCTAAATCCAATTAAAGCATCTTTATTTGTAACAGCAACATAACTTGCGCGACCCGTATCTTTGAGCCACGCATGTTCAGGTCCTACACCAGGATAATCTAATCCCGCGCTAATGCTATGTGTAGCTTTGATTTGTCCTTTCTTATCTTGTAATAAATAAGTGCGCGTTCCATGAAACACTCCCGGTGTACCTACCGATAAGGTTGCCGAATGAAATTCGGTATCCGTCCCTAGTTTTTTTTAAAACAAAAAATAATACATATATCGTTATTATTATTAAAAATATTCGAGAGGAGATGATGTTGATATAATTACCATCACCACCAGCTTCAACTCCTACAAATTTTACGCTTTCATCCTCGATAAACGGATGAAATAATCCAATAGCATTACTTCCACCACCAACACAAGCAACAACCACATCAGGTAATTTACCCGCTTTTTTTATCATTTGTTCCCTTGATTCCCTTCCAATCACAGATTGGAATTCTCTCACCATAGTTGGGAATGGATGAGGTCCAATCGCCGAACCAACCAAATAATGCGTATACTGAACAGTAGTTACCCAATCTCTCATGGCTTCATTAATGGCATCTTTTAAGGTTTTGCTTCCTGATTCCACCGAAATAACTTTAGCCCCTAATAATTTCATTCTAAAAACGTTTAAGGCTTGTCTTCTAACGTCTTCGGCTCCCATGTAAATAACACATTCTAACCCGAATTTAGCACAAACGGTAGCGGTGGCTACGCCGTGTTGTCCAGCTCCGGTTTCTGCAATAATCCTTTTTTTACCAATACGCTTTGCTAATAATGCTTGTCCTATTGCGTTATTAATCTTGTGTGATCCTGTATGATTTAAATCTTCCCTTTTTAACCAAATTCTTGCACCTCCAGAGTTTTCTGTTAATCTATCCGCGAATTGTAATTGTGATTCTCTACCCATATAATCATAAAATGATCGAAATTCTTTCCAAAATTCCGGATCATCTTTTGCTTCTGTAAAAACCTATATGACATGATGAAAAAAGTGTTAAAATACTCTATTATTATTTTTAGTTTAATTTTTTTTTATACTTGAACTTTACTTTTTCGAGTTGAACTATACAATCAACCAAAGCTTCAGGGACGTATTGACCCCCAAAATCACCAAATCGAGCATCCAGTGTATTATTTGAAGAATCCTAAAGGTAATTTTTAGACTTTAAATGAATAAATTTTCGATATAATTTAGATCAAAAAAAAAAAAAATAATAATAATGAAAAATGACTATTACATTATCAACCTTACACTCGATACTTCGACCATTATCTTGAGTACTATATAATTTGACCTCTTTAGCATTTTCTTCCTTGACGTCTTCAGCCGCTCTACCACAAACTTCCAACGCGTATGATTTTATGGCCTCGATTCTTTTACCTTTGGCTAGACATGTAAAAAAATCGCAATTCAATCAGTTCCAAATAAAATCGTGAAACACATCACAATAGATCGTAAATATATTATACATACGTGCTGATTTCAAGACATTGACGATCTTACTACCAATTACAACACCATCAACGTATGAACCGACAGTTTTAAAGTGTTCTCTCGTGGTAACACCAAACCCAACAGCAAGAGGTAATTCTGTATGTTTTCGAATTTTCGAAATTATTTCTGGTAATTCCGCATTGATAGTATCTCTTGAACCCGTTACTCCCATTCTTGATACCACGTAGATAAAAGTATCGGCAACATGTGCAAGGTGACGTATACGCGCTTCGGAAGTCGAAGGAGCGATTAGAGGGATATAACTAAGACTGTGCGACAGAATGAACGAGGTTAGATTGTAATCTATTAAAAGAAAATCAAAAGTTAATAAAAAGGTACTACATATAATTTACCTTTTTTCATTACAAATGGTCCTAAACTTTTCACATTCTTCTGGAGGCAAATCAACTACAATATATCCATTAACGCCAACTTTTTTACATTCATCGACTATTTTTTGCTCGCCATAAGCAAGAATTGGATTATAATATCCCATGAACACTATAGGAACTTTGAGTCCTTTAGCTTTTGCTTCGGATACATACGACAAACATTTTGTAATGTCTATATCATGTTGAAGCGCTACCTGTCACATAGTTCGGAAATTAACGATTAGATCGATTGAAACGTTGATTAAAAAAATTTTGGTTAACGACAGTGAACTTTTTCGTTGAATCAATTACATTGTTGGCTTCTTGAATTGTAGGACCATCAGCCAAAGGATCAGTGAACGGGATACCTTTGCATTCATGGAGATTATTTTTTTTTAATTAGGTTATAAAAATTGTGAAAAAAAAAATTGATCATTTTTTAATTTAAATAATTAATTACCCAATTCAATGATATCTGCACCGCCAGCCTCAAGTCCCAGTAACAAATCAACGGTTTCTTCCGGGTCTGGATATCCAGCTGTTATAAAAGCGATAAAAGCTGGTCGTTCTAAAAGAGAAAATATATATATATATATATTGGAATTCCATTAAATTTATCATTTCTTTTAAAAGATTGTATATACTTTGTTCTCGACAGTTTTGAAAAACTTGATTCAAACCGTTTGACATTCTGCGATAAAGAAATTTTTTTTTTTTTAAAAAAAAAATTATTTACAATCAATTTTATTATTTAAGAACGCTTTTTCTTATTAATTATGTACGGTTTTCTTCCGAAAATAAGCAACTCCCAAATCAATTAGTACCCGAAAATAAGCAACACCTGCGAATTTTGTATCAAAAAAAAAGTAATATTATAAAAATGATAAAAAACACTTAAATAATAAATAAATACTTCATTTTTATTAATGAATAATTGCTTGTGTCATCCAAAACAAAATCAATTTTATAATGATTGCCAAACTATTTACTAATATTACCATCATCATCACCATCGATACTATTATCATCACTATCAATGCCATTATCATCATCTTTATCATTATCATTATCATCACTAATTTTCAAATCAGAATCCGATTCATTTAAATCCGTTAATATATTACAAGTCTTAAAAGACTCAAAAATAATTTCATCTGAAATTGCCTCTCAGAAACACTTAACCCATAAACACATCACTAATCCTAACACGACGAAGATTTCCTAAGGCAGTTTCTCTAGCATTACCACCTGCCATCCATATATACCATTCCTTGCGAAGATTGTCTTTAAATAGCTTATTTATTGAGACATTGAGTGGTTGACAAATGCTGGTTAGGTCACCTAGAATTACTGCCAAATTAAATCCACTATCATGAAATTTTTTTTTAACGGATTTTTCCAGATGAACTTTGAAAGAATCATAAACTAACATTGTCAGATCCTTCTGAGTACCATTTTTCAATCTTATATCATTGATGAAGCCCACATACTTTAGCATTAAGTTTGAATCTATCCAACCATTTTTTTGGTATCAAACTACAACACCAGAAGGAACTTGTTCTCCATGCGGTATCCGTTTCCCTTTAAAGATGCAAATTTAGTTCCATCTAAAATAAATTAACAAATTTAATATTGAGAAGTTTTAAAATAAAAAAAATAAAAAAATAAAAAGAAAATACCTGCGGCACATATCAAAATGACAGTGAATCAATTTTTTTTATTACTTGTTGAACGAACATGAACCATTTTTTTTACCCTTCAGATTTATAGTAAAGTTACCGGCTATGTTAAGCAAAATAAGCATTTCATCCATATTAAAAATATTTTTTAATTCGTAAGATTTTTCAAGCCTAAGACGAATGACAAATTTATGGAATTTTTCCAA